GCTTCGCTTTAAAAATATTGTTTCGATATTTTCTTTGTATTTTTAAAAGCAACGCCATTACAACGATAGTACGAGTAGAACAATAATGGATCTTAAGGACACTATTGTGATGAATCTCTCACACCTGGACCCCAAAGGGGTAGACAGAGACAATAGACCTTCGTTTAGCGCGGTATTAACACTTGACTTGTTTCTACATTAATAGTAACAGTGTTAGAGGCCGCTTTAACATCTTCGCACGAATGGGTCAGCTCGCCCGGTGTAATACCACGGCCACACAGAAAACAGGCGTGAAGTGGAAGCAATTCCGCATTTCGTCTGATGAGTGCTGGAGGCCTAATTTTAGTCCCTTTCTCTTTCCACCCTTTTCTTAAGAGGTATATATGGGATGGAAAAGTAGATTTGACGGTGTGGTAGACGAATAGGTAGGGGAAATGTCCTCTTTATGTGCGTCTCCTCCTCCGTCAATTAAGGGTAGGCAACTCATCTGCAATTGCGGATGTTTATGGGCAGCGGTCGCTTCCAATTTCCGTGGCCGATTGCTCGTTTGCCACCTTATATTATTACATTGGTTTGGGGTACTCTTGATTATAATATGCCACTTACTTGAAGTGATCAATGACATCAAATATCAAATGTGTTTCTTTGCTAATATTCTTTGAATTTCAAAACTGTACCGAATTCATTGTTTCTACAATCAAATATTTTAAATATAGAAACGGTGCCAAGTCGAACAGAAAACTGTTTTAGTAATTCTTCAAATAAAAATATTTAATTCAATCAGCCAATACTGAACATCATGAAATCAGTATGGAATTAACGAAGTGTAAAGCTAAACGAATGCGAGTTTTAAATCAATCAGAAGCATTACATTGCTGTACCAGTTTGATTTATTTTTTTGAACATTTCACTTGTTCTATTATTTATGTAGAAGTGTATTGTGTGATCCCGCGCTGGCGATACAAACATAATAAACAATTAAGAACAGACATTGTGGTTTATAAAGTACATTTTTCTTTAGACGTGAAAACGTAAGTCATGTTTAAATATATACTGTACTCGTATACTATTATAATGAAGCGTAAACACACATTTCTTTGTTGCCTAAGATGTCAGCAATAACAGCATATTTTTGAATAATTGTTTTTGTAATAAAAAACCGTACACTTGCGTCATGCTTTAGGCTATATATTTTCACGCCACTGAACTTAGGGGTAAATATTTTGGATGAAAACCCTAATATGGGAAAAAACCATAAGTTGCTGCCAACATTAAGAAAGAAAGATTGCTAAGGTTTGTCATGTCATGTCGTGTCATTTTGACATTTGTTATTGATAATTTGACAAATGTAAACAATAAAATAAAATCTTCATAATTTCATGCGGATGAAGCCGCACGGGAACAGTATTTTATATGTTACTTTTTAGACGCTTAAAAAAGGCAGGAGTAAATTTTCTGATGCAATATTGTAAAATCCGTTGAAATAGGGTAAAAGTTTTTAATGAACATTTGCCAGAAAACTAGGGTCATAAAAAGTACTTGTAAGTTACCAGTAAGTTTTAAGTGTAAGTCACAGTAACTTTGGACGCGCAAGGATTTGTTCATCACACGTTCAGTTCCCAACTTTGTGTCACTTTAATCTTTATGTTTCTCAAGCAAACCAGTCTAGCTATATATTTACCCTTCCTTTATGACCCCTCCTCCGGTAAATCTACTTCCATGTTTTCTTATAACAAAATGGTGAAAGTTGAGGAATAGAATTTAGCACACACTCAAACGACGCGTGGAGTTACTTCGAGCTTACCTTCTATGTGGCCATAGCATTGCCTTAATCAGGTGACATTTGTTAGTACTACGAGGTATTATTTTAAATAATAAATTTACTTGATAACGTCTCGAGCCGAAGTTCAGTCCGATTGGGTCTCTGTCGCTTGTTCCATGCTCTCATTTCCACGTGTGGCTCAAATGGAACGTGACATATGCTGGGTTTCTGAAATTTCCATTTATTTTCTAATTAACTAATGATTCATAACTGTTCGGTCGTTATAAATTTAAATTTATAACTTGAGTGACGTAATTCGGAAACGCATATTATTTTATCGAACCAAAAACTATCTATTGGTTAAAAGTAGCTGGGAAACCATTAGTCATGCTGTTACATGCGTGCAGCCGTTGTTTCACAAGAGGTTACCACGTCGAAAAAAATGTAATATTTTATACTGATACGGTGAAATTCATTTTAACGTCTTATGTAGGGTGAATTAATTTGAATATCTTCCTGTAACAGCCGCCTTCTATGTATTTTGCCATCATTTTATCAGTATTTTTAAAGAACGATTTATGTGGAATTTATACGGAAGAGAATGTTGTGTTTTTTAACAAAATGTAGAGATTTACTGCCCCACCCTAAGTTACAATGTCACTACACTAAGCGACTATTTAAGTAAGCTTTTTATCAATTTAACTTTGAGTACGGAAATTAGATTAATATAGCTATTTGCTGTAGTTACTTTTTTAATTCTTTATCTGAAATATAAACTTTTTTCAAAATAAAAATAAATAAAATAAATTGCTACACCTTATCTTTATGATAAATTACTTTTAATACTTTGGACAAGAACTTATGCATCATTAGTCTAAGTTGAAATTTTACTCAGCAACTTTTGGTACTTAATTGACTTAGCAATTAAGTTAAATAGGGTGCGATAAATTGGCAATACAAATGTAAAGTTTTATACAAAGCGGTTGTAAATTGAAAACAACGGCTTAACCAGGAAATAATTCACGGTGTTATTCTGGTTTTTATTTGAAAGACAAATATAAATAGTTGAAGAATTTTTTTGTTTAGAAAAAATATTAGTAGATTTTTGTTAATTTACTAATATTTCCTTTAACCAATACAACTAAGCTCTAGGCTTGTGCTAGTATATGGTTCACAATAGTCGAATGGCGGGATTCGAACCCTCGACCTCGAGATCAACCATTAGGCTATTGGCGCTTGAAAATATATTATCTATGTTTTGATAGTATTTTATAGATTTCACAATGAGATAAGACCAAATTCATACAAGTTACTTAAAAGATTGCTATTTCAGAACAAAAAAAATAAAATCGATTTAAGTATTGTGATGTACAACGAGTCGTAGAGTACTAGTCTTGGGTATTTTTCCTTTATCTACGAGTATAATTATACTAATATTATAAAGAGAATTTGTATTTTTGTATGTATCGAAATAACTCAAAAACTACTGGACCGATTTCAAATTTTCACCATTAAAAAGCTACGTTATCAGTGAGTAACAAGGGCTATGTTATTTTTATTATTTTTTCAGATGTAGTCGCGTACAAAGTATACATATTTTCGCGCGTAGTGTTAAAGTATTTTCTATTTTCTTTATGGTTTCATCATCACCAGCTCACTATACGTCCCCACCGAGGGGCTCGGAGCCTACCCTAAAGTTAGGATGACTAGGCCATAATCAACCACGCTAGCCAAGTGCGGGTTGGTTGACTTCACACATATCTTTGAATTTCAGCGCCGATATGCGCAGGTTGCATCACGATGTTTTCCTTCACCGTAAGAACGTCGGGTAAATTATGTATTTCTTTATGGTTTACTATTAAATAATACTTATTGAGAGAAAGAGAAAGCGTGTTAAGAGAAATGATTCAATATTATTGGTTCAAACGAAATAAATTCTGAGCACGTTTCCTTTTATCGTATTACAAGGTCCGCTGAGTAAAGACGAATTAAAAACGTTTCCACAGCACGACATAGGAATTTTAAAAATATATAGTACTAGCTAATACTCGCGACTTCGCCCGTGTGAAATTAAAAAAATATAACCTATGTTATTCACAGATAAATCTATCTATCGGTGAAAGAAATTTTAAAATTGGCCCAGTATATTTTGATTTATTTCAAAACATACAAAATTACAAAAAATCAAATTTTTCCTCTTTGGAATATTAGTATAGATATAAGAAAAAATCTTAATATAAAATTTTACAACTAGATCTGTAATATATTTTTTTTTCTTCTTACGTAATATCACATTGAAGTCCCCAGGCGATGATCAAAGCTAGTCTAGAGGGGAGCGCAGATGCCATTGTAGTGGTCTTATTCTGAGTATTTTTTATACCTCTTTTTATTTATTAAATTATCTAGGAGGGAAGCCTCGAGATGACGTTTATATAAATTCAATTCGAAGTAATATCGCTACGAAATAATCTTAAAAATTACAATCATGTAATGCTTTAGAAACTATATTCATGTTTAAAAAACGATAGATAAATCATGCAAAATAAAACAATACTCTTACAGTGTTGAATTAATAAAGGTTTATGCAAACTAAGGCCAAGGAAGGTTTTAATTATATGATGTAATTATTCATTTAATCTACGTTGATCAAACCTAGGTCAAGGTAACATTACTAATAGTTCTACAAATTTTCTAAACACCCTGTGTAAATATTATGTTTTGTTATGCACCTGAAGTAATCAATACTTTTATTTTACAGCTAAAATAATTCCTCTAGAAACTTAATATTTAAGTGAACACCTACATATCAGGGGTGACAAACTTGCGGCTTTCAAGCCACATTCAGCTTCATTTAAGGATAATTTGTAGCTATATAAATATATCAGAGTTCCCTTTATATTTTAAAAAAAATGTTCCGAAGGTTTGTGCTTCAAAATGTTTTTTACGATAATCGGGGCTAGCGAAAAATAGATTTTTTTTAAAAAAACTTCCGAATATTTTGCTTGACTACCCCTGACAAATTTGTAAATAAATATAGATTGCATCAAATAAAGTAATTACGCATTCAAAATTATTTCTTCATTTCATTCAAACCAAATCCTTTATTCGATAAATAGGAAAATCCGTTGAAACAGTCATTGTTTCCCGACCTATTGAATTTTTTCAATGTAATCACATCACAAGGAGATTCACTAAGGATATAATAAAAATATAAAAACGTTGAAATTGCTACTAAAAGCACAGTTCTATTGTTTTCTAGTGAAAGAAGGTTGTTTATTGTGTACCGCTACTTCAAGTATGGATTTTTTCTTATATTTTTTTTCACTTCCAGCCAACTATAACTTACCTGAAACAAATATAAATTAAAATTAATAGTGACACACTTATATGTTATAATTTATTTTTTCACTCAAAATACACAAAAAAATTGCAAGTAAACGTAACAATTTTGTTTTTTTTTATTTTGTGTACATAATAATATGATTTGTTTAAAGTCAATATCTTAATGTAAATAAGATAACCTCTTACTATATTTACCCAATTAGTTTGATTCAAAAAGTTTACAAAAAAATTTCAAAAAATGTGAAATTTCGTGAAACCATAAAGCCTTTTTTTATATTTTCATTCACAAACCCATTTTTAATTTCCAGAATGCTGTTCCTACCTATTCTTGTGATAGCTAGCGTGGTTATGATCAAAGCTGACACATACACTGACAGATATGACTCTATGAACGTGGATGACGTCATAGCTAACAGAAGGTTGTTCATTGCTTATGTTAAATGTGTATTGAATAAGGGCCGTTGTACACCGGAAGGAAAAGAGCTGAAATGTGAGTGTTTTTATTTTTTCTTATTGAACTATTGTTGTAGATGTTATAGAGCATAAACCTATATATTTAGTTTAATAAATCATACTAATATTATAAATGTGAAAGTTTAGATGGATGGATGTTTGTTTGTACCCTAAACTGCTGAACGGATTTCGATGAAATTTTGTATAGATGTAGAGGATAGTCTGGAAGAACATATAGGCTACTCATATTGTTTTTTTTTAATTCCACGTGGACGGAGTCGCGGGTGAAAGGTAGTGTTTAATAAAAATTCATTACATTGAAAAGGAAGTAAAGGACTCGAATGCACATCAATACATCGTAAAAATGCCTATCTTCATTCTTGAAAGATTTAATAGAGATGATAAAATTTTTCTTACCTTTAGTAATGGAAGGTAAATTTTTATTAGTCCACCTTTTAATGGCGTCTATCAAAAATGTTATCTACAGTCAAGAACATTAATTTAATACCCATGTCAGTGAAATATTTTACGATCACAATTAGATCAAAATGTATCATAGCAACAAATGCGTTCTTAGCAACAAATAAGCTCTTACAGTGACAGTATGCTGTTTTCTTGATTCCAAGTGGGTAGGGAATTTAATTCTTTAACTACATTCCAGCTCATATAACCGAAGCGTTGCAGAGTGGATGCGTGAAATGTACAGACAGACAACGACGTTCTATAAAGAAAGTCATAAAACACCTCATACGTAGAGAAAACAACTATTGGAACCAATTGGTTGAAATGTATGACCCTAAAAGAATGTACTCGAAAATGTATGAAAGAGAATTGGGTTCTATATGATTTTGTTTTTAATAAATAGATATGTTATTGTTTTTATATTTTAATTGTTAACTTTGTGTTACATTATAAAAACTAAGGATGCAAGAAACAATTCTATGATTATTTGTTTGGTTTGTAATTTTTTTTTTAATTTAAATTAAAAATAAACAGATTGTTGTTAGTTTTAAGATGTTAAATAATTTCATACTGTGTTGTGAATATTATAAAATATTTTAATGTACGAAATTTGAGTATTTTTGCGTCTGATTTATAATTTAATGTTAATTACGTTTACTGCGGTAAGTAAAATCATAATTCATCTGGTGAGGCGGGCCGAAATGCGCCCCCAATGATATTCCGCCAGTGTGTGGCGGGTCTTTTTAGACCTACCAGCACTAGGTATATAATTGCTATAATAATTGTGGAAACATAACGTATACATTTTATGTAATGTACACTTGAAATAATAGTTTCGTACTAGCGAATTAGTTATTCAGTTGTATTCTTTACTTAAGTTTCTTATTACAAATATAACACATGGACAATAAAATAAGTAGTACTCCGCCAGCCATTAAAAGAACAGAGAAAAAAAAATGTTGCCACAGATTAAATTTTACATCTAATAGAGAGGGACATAGTTTTCATCGCCAGAACCATGTATTCTGTATTCTTGAAGATTTTTTAGTCTGTGCATAAATCAATACCATTTGTGATAATTTGAAATAATGATATAAGCTTTGTAATTGTGATCCAAAAACATTACTTACATATTTATGTCATGGTTTTAAGATGTCGTAATTCTGTTTATTATGTTAATAATCGGATAATAGTCGGATGCCAAAAATAAGGGTGTTGCATTAGCTCGACGACACGACGGCCATGTTGGTAAGGTTAAGTGAAAATTTGAAGAAAACATAAGAGGTACAGAAGACTATATTTTATTTAAGAATAACATGGTTGTGACGCCCACACTTTTAAGTTAAAACTCATATTCATTGGAATAAAGGAAACAGATTTAGGCAATTTACCGCATGAACAGTCTACGAATGAGCAAGTAATTAAAGGTTCAGGGATAATGAAAAAGGCATAAACAAGAGAAGTTAAAAGCGGTGATAAATCTTCCTGTTAACTGACGTTTAACATCGCAGCGTGTGGATTCAGAATTTTACAGCTTAAGCCGTTTAAGTCAATTAACTTTACACGCTAAGTTCTGTAAGACTTTTGTTAAATATTTGTTTTTTAATTCCGACAATTATTTGCAAATGTAGTTTAAATAATCTATACTTCTATACTTTTATAATAAAGCGTAAAAACACACTTCTTTGTTGTTAAGATGTCAGCAATTACAACATATTTTTGAATAGTTCTTTTTTTAATAAAAAACCATACACTTGCGTCCCGCTTTAGGCTATATATTTTGACGTCATTAAACTTAGGGGGCTAAATATTTTAGATAAAAATCATAATGTGGGAAAGAGACTATAAGTTGTTGCCAACATCAAGGAAGCAAGGTTGCCATGGTTTGACATCATGTCATGTCATTTTGACATTTGCAATTGATAATTTGACAAATGTGAACAATAAAATGAAATTTTTATAATTTTATGCGGATGAAGTCGCATGGGAACAGCTAGTTTATATGTAATATGTAATTAAATAAAGTAAATCTTTTCGGGAGAAACATTTTATCTGCACTGAAATATTTATCTTTGTAAGATTAATCCGTACAACGTTTATTACTTTTGTTTATCAAGATTACTTGAAGCGTTTCCCCTCTCAAAGTAATTTATTTCTTACATTTTAATCTCGTTTGATATTCAGTGAATATGTGCCCACATGTACCAAGATCTTGTGCTTAAAACATAGGGTAATTATATTTTCGGGTATTTGAGTAAGAGACGAAAAATGGAAATGTTACTCTAACAATTTTATTTAATATACCAAAATATAAACGTAACAATAACAAAATTACTGTACTTTCTTCGTTCATTCACTCACTCATTCGTCTCATCACTCACTCACTCTTTCAAAAATCATTAAAACATCTGAATTTTGAATCATCGCACAATCATTTCTTACTTTAAATTTGGACCATAAAAAATCAACCCTTGAAAAAGTTTGAATTATATTTCGAATTTTTAATTCACAGTTAACTGGCATTTCCCATCTTTCAAATAAAAAACTTCTGTTCAAAAGAATTCATAAATAAATTATTTATCTGACCCATAAATATTTACTTTACACAGTAATACAGTAAGGTCGTAATTATCGTCCATTAAAACGCTACAGCAATTTACACGATAAAATAACTTTGACCTTTTTCTACACCGCAGTATTATCACGATTGCCCACTAAATATAAACGGATTGTTACTTTCTTATTGCCACTGGGTAAAGCCTGTTAAATAGACTGCCTTTTGACCTAGAATACTATAGGAATTACACTAATTCATTCTTTGTATGGCAACATTTCTTACACACCCTCTCTTTCCCCAAATCTATCGCAATCTAAACTCTAAAAATAAATCCCGATTTATGGTTGACGGAATGTTAACATTCAGTTAAGTGGAATTAACCGTTTTAAATATAGATTAAGCTATTACTTTTTTTAACAAAATTCGCTATGAAAACACAGCTTTGTTATCTAGTTAGTTTATTCAAATCTATATTATATATCTACACTAATATAATAAAACGTAAACACACACTTCCTTGTTGCCTAAGATGTCAGCAATTACAGCATATTTTTGAATAATTCTTTTTTTAATAAAAAGCCCTACACTTACGTCACGCTTTAGGCTATATATTTTCACGCCAATAAACTTAGGTGGTAAATATTTTGGATAAAATCCCTAATGTGGGAAAGAGATCATAAGTTGCTGCCAACATTAAGAGAATAAGATTGAAAGGTTTCCCATGTAATGTCACTTTGACATTTGCTATTGATAATTTGACAAATGTAAACAATAAAATAAAATTTTCATAATTTCATGCGGATGAAACCGCATGGGAACAGCTAGTTTGTAATAAAAATAATTACTAATTTAACCTTTTAAATAGAATAATATACTAATATCTTATTAATATTATAAATGAGAATTGAGGATGGATATTTGTTAGAGTTTGTAGCCTAAACGGTTGAACGAATTTCAATGAAATTTGGTATAGATCTAGAGGATAGTCTGGAAGAAAACATAGGATACTCCCTTTTTTAATTCGACGCGGACGGAGTCGCGGACAAAAGCTAGTTAATCATAATTTGCAAATATAATCATCTCTATATTACAACAATTTACTACGAGGAACCTTTGTATATGGAATATCTCATATATGATAAACGACAATTTCCTGTTACCAATAGCATTTCCGAGCCGGAAAATACAGGCGACATCACTATCTACTGTATACAATGTAGAAACTTGCTCTATACTCCATATTTTAATATTATAAATGCGAAAGTTTAGATAAATGGATGGATGTTTGTTAGAGTGTGTAGCCTAAACTACTGAACGGATCTCGATGAAATTTGTAAATATTTTGGATAAAAACAACATCAAGGAATCAAGGTTGCCATGGTTTGTCATAATGTCATGTCACTTTGACATTTGTAATTGATAATTTGACATATGTAAACAACAAAATAAAATTTTCATAATTTTATGCGAATGAAGTCGCACGGGAACAGCTAACTGTATAAAACAGATTTCTATTCCATTGTAATCCTTATTTAGGACTAGAATAAACATTGTTCAACAAAACAAATGTGCCGACCGCAGCGCTATCTCTCGGTATGAGAGAAAACTAAACATTTTTCCGGAATAATATCTCTAACGTATGAATAGAAGATAACCTAAAACAACAAAACCAGCACACGGTCTGTATAAAGTGGTTCAAATACGCTTTTTTATTACTATTGAAAAAGTTTATTTGTTTAGAAAATATTCGTATGAAATTCAAGTATTGTTTTGTTTTGAAAATATTACAAACTTTGTTATTTTATACATCAAAGATAAAACAATATTTTAGCAATTTAAATTATAGATTTATCGGAATTTGTGAATAGTAATGAATTATTTCCTTTTCTGATAATTTGCGCCCTCATAATTGAAAGAAAAAAAAGAAATTCTTTTGTTGAAAGAAATTGTTTCTTCATACATTTATTAGTGTACATTTAGGTGGAGGGGTACCCCGGTAGAGGTAGACCTAGAAAGAGATGGATGGATTGCGTGAAAGGTGACATGATCAAGAGGGGAGTGATGACTGAGATGACGGATGATAGAGTTATTTGGAGGACGAAAACCGGCGCGCCGATCCTACGGTAGTAGGATAAGGCAGGGGAGATGATGATGATGATTTATTAGTGTAAATGTTATATGCACGGATATAGTAAAACCACACCTTAAACAACGAAATAACCCGCCTTAATAAATTGCTTGTGATTGATTTCTATGAAAATAATTTCGCAAAATTTGAACTGAATCGATCTGTTACATAGCAATTAATAACTTTGAAGTTTTAATTAAATTTCTACGAGTTCATTTATTATTAAAACAACGGAAATTTTATATTAACATCTTTACGGTCATTTGTTATTTAAAATCATACTAATATTATAAATGCGAACGTTGAGATGGCTGGCTGTTTGTAGCCTAAACTGCTAAACGTATCTCCATAAAATTTGGCATAGATGTAGAGGATAGTCTGGAAGAACACATAGACTCCTTTGTTATTTTTTAATTCCACGCGGACAGAGTCGCAAGCGAAATCTAGTCTAATTAATAAAGTCTTTCAGACACTAGCTAGCTTACAATAAATTTATTTTACGAAAGATTAGATAAGTAACTCTCATTATATAAGCAACAATAACATGCTGTTCTACATTTCTGCATTCCTTTCATATCCTAGCGAAGTCGTAAATAGAATTTAGAGTGTTGAAAAAAGAAATAAAAACGCAGTAAGGCAGCGCTGCTGCAATTGTTATTAAGTTTGCATAATGTACAGTATCTGCAACGCTACCCTACATTACTATACATACAATTATAGCATTTGTTTCAACAATTTTACTTGCATATGCATAATATGCGTTATGCGATCCATGCATTATAAAAACAATAATTAGTGTACTATTTTTATAACAATTACAGAGCATGATGGTAAGCGTGCGAACTGATGGTTGTTTCCCGTTGGACCGGTTGATCGATTCAATCAACTCATTGGAATTTTTTCCTCGAATTGGTTGATCGAATGAGAAATCGTGCTACCATTCGAAAGATTCTAATGTAAATTAATACTTTTAAAAAATAAAGAAATGTTTAAAATAAACACAATTTTAATAAAAACAGTACAAGTAAACATTTTCCTAATCTCTGTTACAAAGAGTGAACTGTTCCGGTCCGGGGCAGCATTGTTGAGACGTTTGTGGTCCTTTACATTGTACTGAGATTTCTTTCTTTACAAATCTTTAAAGAAAATACTATCTTGTCTTATTAGACATTCTTTTAAGAATATACGGTTGAATTATTTTGATTTTTTAATAGGTTCATGTTAAAATGTAAGTTGAGAATGTTTATTGGAAACGCCTAGGAAGGGGAAATGTCCTCTTTATGTGCGTCTCCTCCTCCGTCTTTTAAGAGTAGGCAACGCATCTGCAATTGCGGATGTTTATGGGCAGCGGTCGCTTTCCAATTCGGTGGATTCAGGTGGCCGCTTGCTAGTTTG